TTCATTCCAATTTTCGATAGAGCCGTCAATCCATTTTGCCAAGTATATTTCGCCAAAGCCACCTTTGGCGAGATATCTCACATTCTTGAGTTTTGAATATGGAATCCACTCGAGAATTCTATATTTATTTGTCGCTTTTAACTGTGATTCTTTTATTAGTTCGTCAATATTATCGTTTCCACTCTTCCAAGTATCAAATTCTTGTCGAAAACGAGAAGAAATGCAAGGCTGACACCAATTATCATATGCTGTCCTCGAATTACATTGGCTACATCTTCCATCTACGTATATAATTTTGTTAAATTTCATAAATTCACAACGAATAACAATAACCGTAATATCCTGATGAACTTACGCACTAAAGTTTGACGATTAATACAATCAAACACATTTTATTATTTAAGAAGCAAATAACAAGACCATCCTAATTCAACTTACTGTCTACAATTTTAAAGGATAAGAATATAATCAAATCTCATTTCATATTTTTTACGAAACAGGTGATGAAATCTTGAATTCAACTTACGACCTACAATAGTAATAAAATTAATAAAATAAAATACAAGTTTACGAACCAAGTAACGAAATATTCTAAACTCAACTTACTCCCTATGAAAGCTATCGATTAATATTATCATCTTATAAAATATCGTAATAGCAAATACATTCATGTCTTGACTTACTCTCTATAAAAGTTAGCGATTAATATAATTTAATATCATTCATATTACAGTATTTTAAGAAACATACAGTCGGATGAAATATATTGAATATACTTACTGGCTACAGAATTGGCGGCCAATACAATTAAGTCTCGTTCATATTATTTACATACTAAATACTGTGGCCAACTTAACTTACTCCCTATAAATTAGTCATTAATACAATTGAGCATATTTATATTGCTTATGCGAACAAAATAACGAAAATATCCTAATATAGTATAACTTACATGCTACAAAAAGTTGGTAACTAAACTTTAGTTTCATTTCATGATATTTTATAACCAATAACAAAATCATCCCGGATCCAACTTACATTCTATAAAGGTTGATTATTAATAAAATTAAAGCTCATTTCATATAATCCCACAAAACAAATACAGTACTGTGTCCAAGAATATCCTGAATTTAACTTACTCCCTATAAAAATTTTCGATTAATGCAGTTGAATTCCCTACGGTTTTGCCAAACAAATAGCGAAATAATTGGAATTCAAATTACCATCTACAAAGTAAAAGCGTTGATACAATTAAACCTTTATATAATTTTACAGAATAAATAGCAAAAACCCTGAATTTAACTTACGAACTATAGAATATATCAATCTAATTAATTGTTATTTTCCATTATTTACAAAAAACGCAACGAAAACATTCTGGATTCAACTTACTACCTACAATAGAAAAATAAAATAAAATTAGATCTCATTTCATGATTTTACAAAATAATTAACGATACCCAGTATCCTACTTACCCCCTATATAAAGTTAACATCAATACATTGAAACCTTATTCAGATGATTTCGAAACAAATGTAATAAAATGAATAAAATATCATATATTGAACTTACAATCTATAGTAGTAAGAAATAAGAATACAATAAACATTTTATACAATTTAAGAAACAAATAATGGAATATTTCAGATTCAACCTACCCCCTATAAAATCCGAAGGTTAATATAATTGTGGCATTTGATATTATTTTACAAAACAGAAAACTATAATATCCTGATACAACTTACCATCTACAGTATCAAAGAATAACGATGCAATTGATCTCATAATTTACAAAAAAAATAACGAAAAATCCCGAATTCCACTTACAATCTACAATAATAAAGAATAAGAATATAGTAGAATATAGTTCATATAATTTTACAAAGTAAATAACAAATATCCTTGATTTAACTTACAATCTACAATGCAACGTAAAGAATAAAAATACAGTAAAGTCGATCTTGATTCACATTTTTTTACGAACAAGTTCAACTTACCCCCTACAGTATAAAATTTGAAGATCAATACAGTATACTGTATCCAATATAAACAGTTACTAAAGAAATAAAGAAAATGTGCTAGATTTAACTTACAATCTATAATAGTAAATTATATTGATGAATATTGCGATTAAACCTATGATTATTTTTGCAATAACGAAAATGCCATGGGTTCAACTTACTAACTACATAATAAAAACCATACAATACAATTAATCGAATTTCACTTGATATTAACGAAATAAATCAAATGTATTAATTTAACTTACAATCTGAAATGGTAAATAATATACTGTAACTAAATCTCGCAATATGATTTTATAAAAAAGCAATAAAAATATCCAGGAATTAACATACCCCCTATAAAATTTAATAATCGATATACTTAAATTCACATCATGAAGTATATTAAATAACGAAATTATCCTAAATTTAACTCACCGTCTACGATAAAAAAATAAAAATAAAATAAAGATACAATTAAAGCTCGTTTAATATGATTATGTGAAGATGTCCTGGATTAAACTTACAACCTGTAAAGTTGACGATTAGTCGCAATTAAATTTTGTTTATTGTAAACAAATAGTAAAATATATTGTGGATTTAACCTACGATCTATTGTAAGAAAAGATAACACAATTAAAATATTATTTTATATAATTTAACGAAAAAATATTATTCAAAAGTAACTTACGATCTATAAAGTAACAATTAATATAATTAAGCTCATATTTCTTATAACTTTACAAACAAATGACAAAACATAATGAATAAAACTTACAATCTACAATGGTAAGCATTTAGAATTGTTAAATCCTATTCCAAACAAATAATAAAAATACTGTATCTGAATCCAACTTACTCCCTACAAAAGTCAAGAATTAATTCACATAGCCTTATGAAAAACGAATAATAAAAATATTCGTGATTTAACTTACCTCCTGCATTAGTAATAATATAAATAGATTAAATTTCGCTACATAGGAATTTACGAGATAATAATGATAATATTCTGGATCCAACTTACTCGCTATAAAGTTATCAATTAATATATAATTCTCGTTTATTATAAATTTACCAAACAAATATACACAATCCTAATTCAACTTACTAGCTATAAATGTTGACAATTAATATGATTCAACCTCATTTCTTAAAATTTATGAAACAAACAACAAAATCACCCTTACCATCTACAATAGCAAAGAAATATATATATAATTATTAATATCATTTAATATATTTTGCAAAGCAAAGCGAAGATATCTTGGATTGTATTTACTCTCTATAAAGTTAACGATTGAGACAATTAGATCTTCTTTCAATATTTTACGAAACAAATACCCTGGATTTTAACCTACTTCCTATAAAAGTTAAAGAGATCATAAAATTATATTGCCTTCATACTATTAAAGAACAAGAAAAATAATCGTTCATAATAAATTTTACGACCAACCTTTTGCCGCTTCGATCAAATTTTTCGCATCCGCCGAAATCATTATGTCAATTTTTTTCAACTAAAGGAAGAAAAAACAGTTAAAATAATGATTATAAAATTTCGAGTCAAATTACAAGTGCATTGAGTAAATGGCTAAAAGAGTGGAAAAAAATACGGCAGAATGATTAATAACTTTTTAGCTCATCCAATTTAAATGATCTTCACAGGACGTCTTGATTGTTTCTTAAAATGAACTGGATAATATATTAATCACGTGCTTATTGCAAAGATAAAATTAACAATAAAATTAAAGAGTTTATTATACTGTACGTATTGTGATACGATATTTATTATTCTTATATATCGTATATGTTATATTATATCCGTAAGTCTATATATAATACTGGCATCTTGTACAAAAAAAATACATAATAAATTTCTCTCATTTGGTCAACTGTAATATTTGTCATTATATATGATAAGTTTTATTTAAATTCATAGAATTTTTTGTTAGAATAATATATAACAACTAATTTCAATAATAATAAAAAGCTTTATATTTAATCATAATTATTAAATGATCGTGATAATTTTAATTAATTATTATAGTAGTAGTAGTTGGATATAAAAACTTCGTTATTGATAAACTTTATTTTCAATTATTAAGTTATTTTTCAGAATAAGGTATATATATATTGTAAAGTTATATTAAAATCTAAACAAATATTTTAGTATTTGATTTAATAATAATTTTTTTTAGTGTACTTTATAATTGATAGAATTATGTATACTGTACATATACTGTATATTCATGCTTATAATTTCAGAATCATTAGGTAATAAACTTCTTGCTTAATAATGTTTCGTATAAATGCTTATTTTGCGATAATAATTATATTTGGAATTATTTGGAATCATTAAAAATAAATTTTGAAATGCCTAAAATAATAAGATAATGCGAATAATAAACTAAATAGTCAGAATATTGACAATAACAAAAACAAACCATAATTTTATTAATTAATTAAAATATGAAATTAAGAATAATAAGTGTAATAAAATGTATTTCTAAATCCATGCTTTTATCATTTTTTAATTTTTCTAGATTTTCGAGATTTTAACTCTCGATTGTTTACCCTTCACACACTGTACTAATAGCTTTGTCAATAGTTCAAAGTTGCAGTTTCGGATGGAGACGTAGTAAATACGTACAATACACAGCCTAAATTATTTTGACTTTTTAGATTCCTCATTCTATACTCCACATTAGTAATCATCAGAAATGTTAGTTCTCACTGTGCCGATATAATAGAAAGTAAAAAAAAAAATTCTCGTTCGACGTTACATGTTATCCATTTGGTTTTATTATTAGTTTTGTGCGTTAAACTCAATGCGCCTCGAGAATGAAGCTACAAGATACCCTAAATTTACGCGTGTGTTGATACAAGTAATGATAAATATAATTTATTTACTGTATATTTCTATGTAATAATTCTACTACAGTACATTTAATATACAAGCTTTGTAACTTCATAAGAAATACATTCGTGGATTTTAGTATTCAAAGCCAGATATGTTTGGTAACTTCATCAGAAATATATTTGTGGATTTTAGTATTCACAGAATGCATCGTATCAAAAAATGCATATTCTTCAGGATGATCACAAACAATACTATCTTTTCCTGCAAATCCATTGTCAGGTACACAAGCTTTATCAGAAACAGTGATACCCAGCTCTTTTAATGTCTCGGGTTCAAACATATGATCAGCCATTTCGGTAGTTTGACTAAGAACATATAACGTAACCTCGGAGTGCTTGGCTCGAAAGTCGTCAAGGAACTGAAGGAGAAGCTTATTATGAAGTGCAATCTTACTCTCTATCAGATCAGTAGTCTCAGTGGATAAACCTTTCATTCCTGGAAAACGATCAATTGGCGGAATAGTTGAGACAAAAATATACTTGGCATCACCGGATTCATGAAGTTTTTTAATGGAATTGCCAACTCGTTCTACAACCTTCGCGGCATCAATTTTTCCAAGAGTAAAGATATAGTCGGCACTATTCAATACGACCTGCAATAGGGTTTGCTTCGTTAAAAAATGTACATTTAAGAAACATAACAAAAGAAGAAGACGAACATTACCGCAAATAGTGTTTTTTCAACATTGATTTTTTTGCTGTCTTTCTCCAAAAATTCATTTACTTGTTGAAAGACACCCGGAACGATTACTTTCTTTGGACCCGTAAAAGTTTGAACTAGCGTGTTGCTAATTATTAAATAATATGTTGTTAATAACTCGCGATAACTATGAAGAAGAAAGCTATGAATCAATGCACATACTCAGAAGGAGCGTTTCCGTAGGCGTAATCGTATAATTTGACTTTGTGCTCTTCCACAAAATAGTCCACCCAAATTTTTCCATTAGAAAATCGTCCTTTGTAATAAGGTGGTGACGGTGGGAATTCATGTTTTGTCAACTTATATACGTTACCAGTGTCTGTATATGCGGATGGGCAGCTTTTTAGATTAACTATCCAATTGCATTAACGTTAAAAAATATTGTATATAAAGATTACCAGATAATCCATCCCCGAAAACGACAAAACTTTCGAACTCTATTTCGGCTGATGTTGTTAAGGCAAGAGCAAGGAGCATAAATGCTCTGAGATAATTTTTGAATTTCATGATTGCCATATTATTAATAACCGTTTGTTAATAGTTATTTAAGAAAAGGACGCTCGTTCGTTATAAAAAAAGAAAAGAAAAGAAATATCCTTTCTGCTGTATCAACAAAAGAATTGATTTGAAATTTATATTTTCTCGTGTTTTTTTTTTTTCTAACCACGCGTCTTATTTTGGACATAGATAATTTAAATGTATAGACATTTTTATTAAAATAATAGAAAACTTTCCTTATTTGTTTTTATGAGATTTCGGTTGCTCAATCCATGTTAATTCACTTACATGCACGCCAAACTACAGGAATCTAAAATGTAGTTGCCCTATTATTATTCTTGCATCCGAATTCCTTCGATACTACATCGTGCTAAGTTGCACTAAAAATATACTGTATATACTATGCATTCAGGAAAACCATTTTTACAACGAATCTTCTTGGCTATTTACCGTTTATTCTGTTTTAAAGATAAATTTCATTCAACCATAGTACTGTATTATGATTTCGATTAGGTTATATGCACTTTAACGTGGCCACGACCTATTTCAGTTACACGATACAATTATATATAACCCATACCACCGATAATTGCTCCAATTAATAGAAATCAATAAACATAGTTATACAGTAGTAATTGTGACACGAAAACCCGTTTTACCAAAAATTACAATTACAGTTTGACAAGTAGGATAGTGGAGATTATTGGGATAAAAAGGATAATTAGGATAACTAGGATAAAGAGGATACTGTAATTATGACGATTTAATTATGTATAAATACAGTATATTTGATTTCTGCTCATAAATAAAGTTTTCAATGTTGCTCGCCTTAATAGTGTGATAACTTTACCTGGTGCCAAGAGTCTCGTGCCTTATAATGTGACCTATGGACGAAGTTCAATAAAATCAAATCGTCTCTTTCGCCTAAAAGAGATAAGAGTAAAGTAATTGGTACGACGCCCCTGAATAATGCGACGTGGACCTACTTAGCCATCATGCGATGCGTTGTGATGAAAATCTGTAAAAAGGCGATAGACTCACGTCTTTCTTCATTATAATATAAAAATAAATGAACTAAAGTTTAAATGTTAAGATGCTGTAGTCTAATTAAATAACGAATATTTTTCAATGTATATATATAACGATTCCTTAATTATCAATTGATTTGCTTTTCAACCTTTACTTTCTTCTATACGAATACATTTAATTTCAATTTTATTATATATTGTATATATATAAATAATATACAGTAAATAATATTTATTCAGTATTATTAATTAAAAAAAACTTTTTTAACACAGTACTTGTATTAAAAATATCATTGTATTTGTAATAAATATGGTATATTTATTTCAAAATAATTGAATACCAATAAATCATGTTTTTTAAAAGATTAAAAAAAAATAATATTTATAATTATAATATTTAAATTTTTTTTAGTTATAATTTTTTTTTCTAAATTTTTTTCAAAATATAAATTTTATGATATAATAACTTTCAAATAGTAAAAAAATACACATTAAAATGTTTAATCAAAAAAGAAAATTCAAAATTATGCTTTTTTAAAAAAATTGAATGAAAAAAATTTTACAATGATTATTCCTTACTAAACTTTTCTTTTTTATTTTCATAAATTTCATAAAATCTATAATTAAATTTTGAAATTTTCTTTTATGAAATAATATTTTTTTAAACAATAATAATATTTAATTTTATTATAAAAAATTAAAAAATTAAAAAAAAATTGTTTTTTTTGATTTTACTTGATTAAATATATTATAATTTTAAAATATATTTGTATACAGTATTAATAATATTTAATTAAAACAAGTTCAATATATTTATAATATTGTTTATTAATTTATATAAATAATATATTTAAAACCAAGAAAGCTAAACAAATCATTAAGAATATTAATTAAATTCTTTAATCAAATAACAATCAAAAACTAATTATACATATATAACAAATTGTCAAATTGTTTTATAACATCACAAACAAAATTTTCTTAATATTAAGCTTTTTCAACTGGATTGAAACAACAACTAAAACTATAACTTAACTATTGTTATCCTCAACGATGAATCTGTCACTACTCTGGGCCAAGACTCATATCACATTGAAGGAAAAATCTATATCACCAGCAATATCAAAAGTATATGGGTTAATAATTATCTAACTTTTTTTTTCTTCTCTTAAGTTGATTTTTTCTTAATCTGTTTTTCTAGTTATAGAACCTGTGAATTTCTTCTAGGGAAACAAAAAAACAAAACAAAATAAGTTTATTAATTATTAATGCACAATTATTTGGGTTTTACAAATAAATATATTTTATTAATTGATTATCTATTATTATTCTCTATATTGGACCACATTTGATATTTAAATAATTGCGACATGTCTTTCTAATCTATCGTCGCATCATGCAAATTCAACAAACTTTCTCAAATTCTGTGCCCATCAATCATACATGGGTAATGCATGATTGATGTCCCATGGTGCTTTACGCTAGGCCTCACATGTTGTGTTCCTTTTTTCTATTATTAATTTTTTGATAACATGATATAACTTTATTTGAAAATCATACTGCTTTATAATTAATTCTTTACTATTTACCATAATTTAATAAAACTTTAACAAATCATTCAATTTATTATATTTTTTTAAATCAATTAACAGTCAAACCTATCAAATTAAAATCATATAAGTCAATATTTTTTTAAAAAAAATTACTATATAATTATTTTAAATATATTTAAAATTTAATATCATTACTATCCAATTCTTCTTCTTCTAATATTATACAAGTATTTATAACTATTTAATAGTATTTGACAAGATATATTGTTTTAAATTTTCTTTTCCTTATAAATTAAATAGTTATTGTAGACAAATTAGTATTTAATTTATTGTATTAATATATAAAGGATATTTTTTTTACAATGCATATCTTAATATGCAAACCAAATAAAGAAAATATACTTAAAAATTATATTTTCAATATTTAATATTAACAATACAGTTATAATGATTTTTTATATTTAATTAATTAAAAATCTAATATAGAAAATCATTATTAATAAAAAAACTCTTTTTTATAATATTTTTATTGATAAAAAATTATCTTTTTAGAAAACTTTTTTCTTCCAAAAAATTTTGTTTAACAGAATATATCTTTAAAAATAAATATACTGTAAATCAAAAAACTAATTTAGATCAATAAGTTTTCAAAAATAAAATTAGCTTCTATAATTTCAATAATGGCCTGTACTAAGAGGTCTAATGATTGATAATGATAATGGATAATAACTTAAAACAAAAAAGATAAACAAAAAAAAATTTCCTATATGAAAATTATAATTTATTAAATATATGTTATCTTTTTTAATAAAACATATTATAAATATTTTTTCAAAACGCATTATTTTATTTTTTCAACTGATAATAACTAGTGTAGGATTTTTTATAATTTTTTGACTAGTTACCAGTTCTCACTTACAAATTTTATAACAAAAACTAAAATCAACTTATTCTTATCAAAAAATCTTTAATATACAGTATAAAACACTAATTATCATTTATTTTTTTTTTTTAATTGCAAACAAGCATTAAATGCAAGATTTTATTTAAATAAAAATATTTACTGTCATTACATTAACAATCTTTACATAATAAATTAATTGTAGCCTATCACAACAAAACTATTGGAATCAGGTACCACTGTGGAAGTGGGCTTACAACAATAGTGCTAAATGACTAATGCCTGTTCAGAACGATAATATAACTGTTGGAGTGAAAATTGACTTGTCAGTGAAATTGTGTGAAGCGTCGAGTAGATCTAGAATCACGTTAAATGTTGTGTTGTCATTTGAATCTGAGCTTGGTAACTTTGTAGATAAAGTTTTTTTCCATTTTATGCCTGATGATGGTGATGTAGTTGCAGTAGCAGATCGCAGTTTTCAGGTTTTATATAAAATTTTAAGAGTATAATTAGAAATAACTTCTTTTTTTTAAAGGAGATTAAATGGGAAATTAAATTTGTCAATAGCTAGGTTTAACAAATTGTTATCTGTTAATTTGAATGTGCCCACAAAATCAGTAACTTTAATGCTTTTAGGATTTAAATCTAGAATGAGATTTTCAAGTTTAGTTTTCTTTTTGTTGATTAGAGATTTGTTGTGAATACAGAAGAAAATGTGTGGCAAGTTCTCAGGAAGGGTGTCACATCTTGGGCACAAATTATCGGAATAAAGGCTTGGATAGCAATTGTGAAGTTTGATTCTGGTTAGAAGCTGGTTTGCAAAGAGCTTTGTTCTGAATGTTGACAGTGCTTTGTATTTGGTTTGGTCAGGAATATTGAGTTTGTTATTCGCTTTGATGGTAATTTTCAAATTCTCCAATGATGTGGGTTTGTAGATGGCTGAGTTATTAAGAAACATATTGAATAAATTAATGTAATAGTTTGTAAATTTTATCCAATGGGTGATACTTGTAGCATGGGTGTTGTTAATTAGAGGTGATGTTGTAAATGTAGATGGAAAACATTGAGGAATTGGTGAGTTGACTATAGGAGAGATTGAAGGTGATGGTTGGTGGTCTTTTAGTTTGAGCCATATGATAGTGATACTTTTTGCTGTTATAAAAGTGTTACTTTCGGTGATGAATCTACTGTAAGGAATTTTAATTAGTCTATTTGAATAATCTGGGGTTCTCAACTCAGGAATTTAGTTAACGTGGATTTTGAGTATTGATAAAAGTGGAGAGTCAATGATAGTTTGAAAGAATACTGGTCAAAAAATGCTCCAGAAGTTAGGATGTAGTGTGTAGGACAAGATGTTGGTGGGTTTGGAAACTAGAAGGGTGTTTTCGGCTTTCCTGTATTGAAGTACTATATCAATAGGTTGGTTAATCAAGAGTGGAAATGCGATAATTACTTGTAAGTTTGTTTGTGATGTGGCTAGGAAAGAGTCCAGGAGTTCTTGGGTGTTGTTGAGCATGACATCTGAGTTTATACGTG